CAGTCCATAGTTGTTGTTGTTGTTGTTGCCGTTCTTGTTGCCGCTGACGTCTGTTGTAATGCGATAGGCGGCGCTACACTGTAGACCCAGCGCCAAACTAATTGCCATGCATTATTTTTTTTATACTTCTACAATCTTATATATATGTATAATACATATATGCATCGACAGTAGAGTCACGATAATCTGAACAACTAGTGCTTAGTCAATGACCGAAAGACTGAAAACTCCGGAACATCGGTACATTGAACAAACTAACCGTTACTTACACTACTCCTTACATTTTTCACTACACTGTTCTCTACATTCTTCCTTATAATTCTCTTCACACTGTCCCATACACTGTTCCTAATACTGCTCCTTGGAGTATCCTTTACATTGTCTCTAACACTGTTCCTCATACTATTCCTTACACTGTTACTTACAAAGAAAATCTTCATTTCGTCATGGAAAATATTCCGAGTATACTTGTAATATATAAACCGAACTGTGCCAGTACCCTATATCCAAAAGGATAAATGGGGTACTGGTTTAGGGGGAATGTATGTAAGACACAGGAGGAGCCGTTTGGCACCCCCAAAGTATATATAACCAGAGTGACAAGGCGAGTTGCACACACCCACTCCCCCTGATTTTCCATAATTCCCGTAATTATTGTAATTTTTTGTCATCATGTTCATCAAGATAGGCAAATTTTCAAGGAAGTTATAGTCATAAATATAATTGATTCTAAATATGCATGTCATAAACACATGTGCTCTAACGAAATTAAATTAAAATAATAAAATAAATGTATTAAATTCTAAAAATATTAATTTTTTAAAGTTTATTTATGACAAAATCGTTTGTAAACAAAAAGCTTTCCTACCATGAGAATGAAATGGACACGTCCGACTTAAAGCTATGTCCGAACTATTAAGATTACACTGTATATGTACAATATATAGTATATGTAAAGCAAAGCAGAGAGAACATAATAAACGTAAAATGTATTAAATAAGCGTAATTAGATCATGGCTAAAATATGCGGCAATAGCTATTCGACATGGCTACCGGTTGACGGCAGCAACAACAATAACTGAAAGGCGCCCATAGGGTGTCCATAGAGGTGAACGAGTTTTATTTTCAAGCTGGAAAACTATCAAACTCGATATATACAACAGAGATCTGCGTGGGCGTAGTATGTAATGGTGATGTGTAGAGGAGGATTTTAGAACTAAGAAAAATAAAACTAATTCAATATAGATTCTGGTGAAATATGCAACCGCAAATTTTTAAAATATATAGACAAATTAATAGAAAAGTAATGTTATAATATATAATTTTCCTAAAGATCAGCTGACATGATTAGCCAGAGAGGAAAATTCTCAAATGAGCATGGAAATGGCGCGTAAAAATATATATATTTCAAGAAGTAGAGAGATTATATAAAAAGTTGATTAAGGGTTAACCCATTAAAAACTTGCCATACAACATTAGACTAAATAGTACGCCAAAAACTGTGAAACTATCTTATGGTCTTTCCTGAAACTACCTCCATTTACAAATAAACCATAGTTTCGCATATTGGAAACTCATTTTTATAGAAATTGTTGTTTAGAAATATACTTCAAAAGTAAGCCAAATTAAAATCTATAGACAGCTATTCTATCATTTCGCCCCTAAAGACATTTTAATTAAAAATACCAAGAAAAAATATGCATTTGTTCCACGAAGAACTTGTAGTAAAAGTCATAGCGGATATCTTCTATATCTATCTTCATATCTTGACATTTCCAATTGTCCATTCTCCCTACTCAAACCAAGCCATAATATAAGGTACAGTTCTGGCCCATTGAGAAAGAAGACAACATTATTTAGTACCAGCAACAAAAAATTCATTCACATTTTTTCCTCGGGAACCTTTTCAATGCGGAAAACATTCGTATTGCCTGTGCTGCGCCTATTTTCCCAAAAAACACCAAACCAACTCTGTACAATGTGTACACTTTCTGGTGCTCAATAGCTTTTCCCCTCTCTTTCACTCGGTAGCAGCTGCAGAAATAAACACACTCTTGGTCGCTCTGCCCTCTCGCACCCACACACACGTATTTTAGCCAGCATACTATTCTTTATTCATCACGTAGCCAACGAACGAAGGAACGAATGAAAGAGCAGGAGAGCGAGCGTCGTTCTTTGATATCAACATTCTTATACCCTGCACCCAAATGGTAAAAGGCTATATTAGTTTTGTGTCAGGCATAAGGAAGCGTCTTGGACCCAAGAAATGAATATACTCTTGATCAGAACGAGTAGACAAATCAATCTAGATATATTGGTGGTCTGTCTGGATCAATGGCTGGAGATCAGATACTGCTGAGCGCACAAAAAATTGACTAATCTGTAGTTAGAAACGATCTATGAACAAACCCGTCCTAGTGAATTAGTCTGTTTTTGCTTGATTTAAGTCATTCATCATGAATCCACAATATGTCTGAGCATATTATCTTAAAATGTATCGCGAGTCTAATTTTTCACTATTAACAGAATTTTTGGCAATTAGGAAACTATATAAACAAATGTAGTTTTCTATCTTTATATGTGAGTAATTTTATTCCAATCGCTAAAAGGTTTTATCAAAAAATATTTACGATAGTTTTTTTTTTCTTTTTCTTGCTTCTGCTATAATCGCATAGAACAGAGTGCCGGAAGTGTTTTGTGGGTACAGGGCATTTCACAGTTCGGCTTGCCTAACTGTAACATTCTCTCTTTTTGTTTATTTTCTTTTGTACTAAAGACTCAAACACGCATACTCACACATACATATGTACATACACACCCCCGTGCCGCTGCATGTATATTTTGCGCTGTCTCTCAAACTTCTACGCTCTCTGCTCCCGTTTGCGGCACATTTGGGGAGTGTGGGGCCCTCAGACGACTCGACGACGACGACGACGTCGCGCATGTGTTGCGTCTTTTACTTGTGTATGTATATGTGAGTGTCGTTGTCGTCGTCGTCGCTTCATCTTCTTCTTTATCGTCGTGGTTGTTTTTCGTCGTCGGCGACGACGTCGTGGTTGTTGTTGTATGCAAGGTCGTTTGCGTACAAATTTCAACATTATTTGAAGGTCGTCCTTTACACACTCGCTTTTCTCTCTCTCCCTCTCTCGCTCACTCTTTTTTACTCGTTGCCATCTTCTTTGGGGTCTCGGTCTCTCCTCTACCAAATGCAATGCGAAGACGCTGCTGATGACACACGACGACTCTTGGGTTGATGTCCCCACTAAACAAAGCGTCATTTGGCTGCATTGTAATGCACCGTTATGGCAGCTGGCACCTCACAGCCTCTACACAACCAGCTAGTCGTTTGGCCAAAAAGTAAATATAACTTAACCCAAAAGATTGCATCCTCTTTTTAACCCTCAACTGGCGCCCTCATTCGCTCTGATGTCAAAGACTCAGCGCATGCCGGCCGGCTGCTTTCATATGTACATACATATACAAGCATATGAACAAATGTAAATGCATACATACATACATACATACACATATATATGTTGTATATCTAGGCACATATGTATGTGTGCGTTTGTGTTGGCGTGGGTTAATGTACCTTAAATTTATTATAATTCTCTTGACTTCTGCGCCTCTTCCATAGGGTCGTTGACATTTTTTTTTTTTTTTTTTTTTTTTTTTGTGGAACGCCTGTGTCCAAGCTATTGTTATGTCGTTGGTCGAAGCCATTGTTCCGGCACACGGAGCGCTGATAAGTAACCAAGCGTCCAGCGTTGGACTTGGAAATTGCAGGCGGGTGTGTGTTGAGAATGTGTCTAGAGTATGCCGCTTGTTTATTTGCCTATTGTGTGGCAGTTAATTAGCATGAAAGGCGACCGTGTAACGACCAAGGTCGCCGCCTAGGGTTGCTGACCTTGTCGGCGACTGTTGATAGATAATAGGGGGAAAAGCAATGAATTGAGTTCAATTTGTAGATAAATACATACAGACCTACTTACATAAAGAAGGGCTCATCAGAAACAGAACGCTCCCAATGCTTTCTCTGAGTTTCATTAATTTTAGAAACTTGGGAAGACTTGCTGTTAAACTAAATGAAGTAACTACTACTAATAATGAACTTAAACATTTAATTACTTTCGTGCTGTTGGTACTACATGGCTTATCCTTAGACTCTGACAACGCTGTCCAAGCTCTGAAGCATCTACAGTGTCCCGCTAGTATCAAAAAATTTGCGGTACAATTCGCAGAAAAGAACTTTGTTAAACCAATTTATTTTTTTTCTCCAAACATACCTAGTATATAATTGTATACATATCAACACCTATAATCCAAATTCCAAAACAGAGATGTCCTCCTTTTGCTTTTGGCTTCCTCTTGTTAAGATATACGAGGTCCAATGTCCTAGTATCAAGGCTTGTGGCAAGTGGGTTTGTTTTCCTTTATTTTGGTTGTTTCTCCGTATTACCTTCCTGGATAACCGTAACTGACAGGAACAGCACACAGATATGAATAATAATAACATTATGTAATAATAGTTTGTTTTTTATAATACGTAGCCGAACTGAGTCTTTATAAGTTTTCAATAACCTCTCACTTTATTTGGAGACAGATGGTATTGTTATCGTGTAAGTTTGGTTAAAAAATATTATATTTTAATATAATAATATCTCAGCTAATATGCATTTGTTATATGAACACTAGAAGAGCCTTTCCAGCTTATGCAGGTTGTTAAATATTGAAAGCAGCGCACTATATAAGTACTATACATATTAATAATAATTGTTTTTATTTATTTAAGTTAATAGATTCTAGACAGTTAAACACGCGAGTTATAGTAGGGAGTTAAGGAAACTCTCGCTGCAATAGTTGCTTAATCTAACATATATTAAACTCAGAGAGACTTTATTAACTCACTATACCCGCACAATATATGTTGTTAAAAAATTTTGTATTAAGAATAGAATTTGCATTAATAAGATGTTCCTCTTCACCGATTATCTTTACAGTTTTACAACACAATGGAACTGCATCAACGACATCTCTCCAACTTTTACAAATTGCACAAATAAATGTTTAAACGCCAAACGCAAACGCAGCAAGAAACACAAAACTGCAACGCAAAAGACTTAGAAGTGAAGCCAATCGAACGGAGTAACTTTAGGGAAAAGCCAGAAAAATGCCGAACATGTCGAGCATAAAGACGGAGCAGAACTCGTCTAGCAATTATCAGCTGCCGGTTAATATGTCCACGACGACATCGATGGGTGCTTCTTCGCCGGGAGGTGGTGGTGCAAACACAGCTACATCAGCATCGGCAGCAATAACAACGACGTCCACAACCACCAATAACGGGTCGCGTCACAATGTTTCGGTGACGAATATCAAATGCGAACTGGATGAGCTGCCCACGCCAAATGGTAATCTGGTGCCAGTTATAGCCAACTATAATGGCGGTTTGGGAGTGGGCGCGGGTCCGCCCAACAACCATGGCAGTCTGCGCATTCCATTAAGCGGCAAGGCGGAAGATTCCGACTCCGAGGCGGAGCTGACAAACATTGAGAACTTGAAGGTGCGCCGACGCGCGGCCGATAAGAATGGACCCCGTCCCATGTCCTGGGAGGGGGAGCTCAGTGAGACGGAAACCAACGGGGAAGAAATGATGGAAACCGATGCGCTAAGCAATGGGCTGGCGATTATTAAGAGTGAGGCGACCACAACCACACCCACAGCAGGCACGGCCACTATAATGGGTGGTGGTGGTGGTGCAGGTTGTGGTGGCATGCTGCAGCCCATCAAAACAGAGCTGGAACATATAGCGGGAGAGCTGCAACAGGCGAAAATGTATGGGGCTAAGCCGAAGCTGGCGCCCACACAAAGCGATCCCATCAATCTCAAATACGAGCCCACGCTGGCTGGCAGTGGATGCAGTGCGGCCACCCTGGGGGATAACTCACCGCTGTTAACCACACGCCAGAAGTCTAATAGCGGTGGCCATTTGCCGCTGCCCGCCAATCCCAGTCCCGACTCTGCCATACATTCCGTCTATACGCACAGTTCGCCATCGCAATCGCCCCTGACGTCCCGCCATGCCCCCTACACGCCCTCCCTGAGTCGCAACAACAGCGATGCCTCGCATAGTTCATGCTACAGCTACAGCTCCGAGTTCAGTCCAACGCACTCGCCCATTCAGGCGCGTCATGCGGCACCGGGCGGTGCCATCTTTCCGGGTGCCGCCAACTACGCCAATGGTGGACTGCACCATCACAGTGTGATTTACCGGCCGTTGAATGTGGACGCAGGCGTTGGTGGTCAGGAGGCGCAAAATCTCAGCATGGATGCGAGCAGCTGCACGCCCACTTCGGTGGCCGGGGGCGGTTCCGGCGGTGCCTTCGACGCAGCCAACTTGCCGGCTTCCCCCGCCGGCATTTCACGGCAACAGCTCATCAACTCACCCTGCCCCATATGTGGTGATAAAATCTCTGGCTTCCACTACGGCATCTTCTCGTGCGAGTCCTGCAAGGGTTTCTTCAAGCGCACCGTCCAGAATCGCAAGAACTATGTCTGTGTGCGTGGTGGCCCCTGCCAGGTGAGCATCTCGACCCGCAAAAAGTGTCCGGCCTGTCGCTTCGAGAAGTGTCTGCAGAAGGGCATGAAGTTGGAGGCCATACGTGAGGATCGCACGCGTGGTGGGCGCTCCACCTATCAATGCTCCTACACGCTGCCTAATTCCATGCTCAGTCCCCTCCTAAGTCCCGACCAAGCGGCGGCTGCGGCAGCTGCTGCCTCTGCCGCAGCAGCCGCGAGTGTTCAGCAACAACAACAGCAGCAACAGCATCAACGACTGCACCAGCCACACCAAGCACCACACGGACTTAATGGTTTTGCCACCGGAGGTTCCACATCGCTACCCGCCAGCCCCAGCTTGGGAGTGGCCATCAAAACGGAGCAAACGGAGGCTCCCGGTTCGACGACGCCACGAGCGACCAGCATACCGCAATTGTTGCAGGTAATTAGAAATTAGTGACAAAAGTTTGGAAGTAGGACATCATAAAGGGACTTCCAAACATCGATAGCAAACATACCCGCGAAAAAAAAAATTTGTTAGATTTTAAAATGATAGATTATAGATATAATGAAATCTAGATTAGGAATATCTTTACGCATGATAGTCATCTTCTAAATAGTAATGGCAGAAAAATAGACGTCAAGAAGAGTATTGTGAGGGAGGGGCAGTTCTTTAAGAACTCTTTGATAACAAAAATTATCCAGAACAAATCGCCAAATAGCAATAGGACATCAGGATTTGAAGTATAATATAATCTATGTTATATATATATAGGTTATTGTTGTTCTTGTTCTCTCTTTGCCCAAAAAAAAAGAAAAACTATTTGCTAATATTATAATCCAGTGAAAGTCGAAGTAGTTATTTGTACGTAGTTGGAAAGATTCAGAGCTTTACAATATGTTGTAAGGGAAATAAAATACGAAAATAAACTCTTAATCTGTAAACAATCCCTTTACATAGTTAATTCACAATTAGAGGGTTTTAAGTCTATATAATCTATTTGAGAAATGTAGACTATAAAATAAATATTATAAGAAATAATATCTCAAATTATGAACTAAAGATACGAAAAGAAGTAATAATTAGCTCAACAACTTAGTTATTTAGAACACTTTAATCTCACAGAACTAAGAGAAAAAGGTGCTACTTGTACATCGCTATGTATATTTATTTTTCAACCTTCTTTCATGTGACAGGAAATAATGGATGTTGAACATCTTTGGCAATACACTGAAGCGGAACTGGCGCGTATCAATCAGCCGCTCTCCTCATTTGCCTCCGGCTCATCATCATCAACAGCATCGTCGCCATCAGCGGCTGCTAATGGCGGGTCGTCCAATCAAGTCCCAACGCCAACACACACTGCCAATGCACAACAAATGACCAATCCACTGCTGGCCAGTGCTGGTCTCTCACAGAATGGCGAGAACGCCAATCCCGATCTGATTGCTCATCTCTGTAATGTCGCCGATCATCGTCTATATAAGATTGTCAAGTGGTGCAAGAGTTTGCCACTCTTCAAGAATATATCGGTACGTGCATATGTCAGGCAATTTAATTTATTACAGATCCAACTGATAAATAATGCTTGCAGATCGATGATCAAATCTGCTTGCTCATTAACTCATGGTGTGAGCTGCTGCTGTTCTCCTGCTGTTTTCGTTCCATTGACACGCCCGGCGAGATTAAAATGTCCCAAGGCAAGAAGATAACGCTGGCACAGGCAAAATCAAATGGTTTGCAGGTGAGTCATATTTCCTCGAGACCGCGCCTGCTTCTGCTCTGTTTTTTTTTTGCACATTTTTTAAGCGCTACTAAAATGATGAACTGATTAAAGATAAAAAATTGTTTGCACAAACAACCAAATACTTGAGCAATTTTTCATTACATTTTATCAAACCCGATCCTCGTTAAGAGATTAGGGATCGGGCGATTAGATTCTCATTATCAACTGATTCATGATGAAAAGTTTCTTCACACAAATAACGAAATGCTTGAGCACTTAATTCATCAAGTTCCATCGACCCGCGATAATTGTTTTCAGATTAACGATTAAAATTTTAGATATTTGTATTAAAGATTGTTAATACCACAAATTATGGTGCTTCAAAATCAATTTTGATATCCAATTGAGGGCTGAAAATTGTGAAAATTACAAAAAAGAAATAACTGATGTTTCATTAGTTTTGTATTCCAATACCAATCTATGTCAATTAATTTTAAAAAGCTATATAACCTCGTTATTAACTATTAGAAGAGCAGCTCAATACATAATAGAAAATACCAATTGAGATGTTTGTTAATTAATGTTATTACGCAATTGAGACTTAAATCACATGTCTTACCACTTCCGTATTTGAAAAGCCATGGATGTTCAACATCAACAAAGATTTTAATAACAAAAAAGTTCTTTATAAAAACTTTGATTTGAAATCTGAATTTATTGCTCATTTATGCAGGCCTGCATCGAACGGATGCTGAATCTGACAGATCATTTGAGACGTTTGCGTGTTGATCGCTACGAATATGTTGCCATGAAGGTCATAGTGCTGCTGCAATCCGGTAAGATTATTATTCGATTTATCGAACACAGGAAAAACTCACTCATCCTCTGGCTCCTATTGTATACAGATACATCGGAGCTGCACGAGCCCGTGAAGGTGCGTGAGTGCCAGGAGAAGGCCTTGCAGAGCTTACAGGCCTACACATTGGCGCATTATCCCGATACACCGTCCAAATTTGGGGAGCTGTTGCTACGCATACCCGATCTGCAGCGCACGTGTCAGGTGAGCTCTCACTCAATCCTCTCTTTCACAGTACTCTAAGACTCACTCTCGCGCTCTCTTCACAGCTGGGCAGAGAGATGCTGACCATTAAGACACGCGATGGCGCTGATTTTAATTTGTTGATGGAACTGTTGCGCGGAGAGCATTGACAAATGCTGACAGCTATGAAACGCCGCCGTGCCACGGGCTAAGGCAAATGGTGTCAAGTTTTATACTATTTAGTATTTTATATATGCGTATATGTAGCATTAAGCTTTTAGTTGTTTAAGCTCTGAAAACATGTGCCTAAAATGAACTAAAGCAGCAACAGCAGCAGCAGCAACAACAACAAAACCAACAACATACATAGGTAGTAGCAACACAAGAAAAACAAGAACAGAGCAACAAATATAAAAACAACTGATAGCTGTTAAATGATGATTGCCAAATTTTTGAGACATTTTGCTGAGATGCTGGCATTGGTGTGGTTGTTGTTGTTGTTATTATTGCTGTTGTTGGCTTGTTTAGTTTAGTATATAAAGATTTTGCTATATACATAACTATATACATATGAATTATGTATAGTAACTAAAGCACACGTGGAAAATGAAAAGACTAAGAATTATATTTAAATTTATTATTAAAATGGAAAAAACAAATCAAACTACAATTACATGTATATGTAAATTTAGTTAAAACAAAAGATACATACATGATCGACGCAGTTTCTGAGAGTTTATGCAAAACTATTTTTGAAATAAACGAGCTGCTAGAATTCTTTATACATACATACATGCATACATATAAACTATACATATAGATATAAAGAAAACAAACAATTTTTAAATGTTGTAGCATTTAGTTTTAGTGCAATTTCACAGAAACACACACACACACCCACACACCCACACATGATTACTTATAAATCTACTTAAGAAACGCTATCGCAAAACTACAGAAAAGTAATGAAAAGACCACTCGAAAATCGTTGCCTGCTTGCAGGCTCCATAACTATTCCAGTGATGCAGCTAATTGTTGCATATAAAAACAAAAACACACAAACTACATAAATACAATTTATATAACTTTTTGTTTTTTGGCATTATCACCACAACTGCATATACATAGTTCAGTCTTCTTCTTTTTTAATTTGTAAGCTCTTATGATTTCTGTTTTAAACTCTTATTGTAGTTCATACTTGATAGCTGAAGCAAATCCTGTAACAGGATTTAAAACATTTAAATAACATTTAATTTTGTCTATTGCATAAACAATATGCAAATATAAAGATATATATGCTAAAATATGAATGTGTGTGTATGTATATCTATCTATAGGCTATTTGTAAACTGTAAACTTCCAGCCCCACCAGCAAACAAACACAAACATAATTCCAATACTTTACAAATGAAAACGAAAACGATTCACAAAAGTTGTAGCGAACGTGTGGAACTTTTCTCAAGATCTTGTGTGTGAACAAATTAGGAAAAGCATATGAAATCTATTAGCCAACAAGATCCGCTTCCAGTTATACGCCAAAAGAAATGTCTAGTTTGTTAAAATTTTGTCTCATTTCTGCACACAGGCAAATATTTTTTATAAGTCGTATAAAAAACAAAAGAATTACTTTGAAACATGTGCAACATTTGTCTACAAATTGTTTGCCTGTCTGAACATTATTTCGAACACACAAGCACAGAGAGAAGGAAAGACACAAAACTTCCCACTTCGCTATTGTCCATAAAAAAAGAAATATTGTATACTAAAATCATATACGAGTACATAGTTAAATGTTAATTTAATAAATGGTCTAACTAAAAATATCATAAACCATAGCTAAATGCAATTGTCAAATGAAAATCAAATCAAAATTAGTTCATAATTTCTCAGCATAGTAGAAAATTGCAGCAAATTTAAGATCAGAGAGCACACGCATACAAAATTAAAATTCATGTTTTTAAAAAGTAAAATTTCAGTTTAATTTTGAAAATTGCAATTTTTATTTGCCGTCTCCATATAAGAAGTAAAAACTGAAAATTTGTATAAGTAGCGAGAAAAAATGTTAAAGCAGCGCAAAAAATTAGAAACATAGAAGTTTGTGCAAAGAGAATTTTATAAGATCTCAGTCTATTGTTCATCGTATAATACACAATCTGTTTCGAGATGCTAACAATCAAAGATATCCCATCAAAGATATACCATAAAATGGACCATTGTGGACCGAAACTAAAATCTAACCATAGTTTTTAGTGAAATCTGTGAAAACAGGATTCTATATGAGATCTAATTAATTATGAACCGCGTAAACCTAACCATCTATAATTAACTTATAACACACTCTGTGAAAAGACATTTTATGAGTTCTAATGGGATATTTATCTATAATTCATCTTGTAATATAAAAAGTCGATTATATCACTCCAGAAAGTAACAAATTTTCAGTCTCCACTCAAGAGACTTTAATGATATCTTTATCAAATCTTCAGCTTTCAGCTTAAGGACACCCATTACAAATACTTTTCTAAAAATGAACATTATTAATCGAAACGTAGGAACTGAATGAAGTGTATTAAGTACTTCGTTTCAAAAATAGTTCGAACTGTTATAAATGGCATCAATATTTCGCTAGCATGATTCCGTTGCATTTGTTTTGTTCTTAAATGTGTTCAGAATGCATTTTCTTTTCTTTTTTTATCAGTTTGAAGCATTATTCTACTTATTTCAAAAGGACATTTGACTTACCCGAATAATACTTACAATATTTATTAATAAATGTAAATTCAAAAACAAGGAAATTGTAAAAAGAGAAAAATACTTGGTTCAACTTAAAGGGATATTTTATGTTCTAAAACATTTTTATGGTTTCTCTTTCACAGTTTTAAGGAACCGCAAAGTTCTTTTGAAACCCCCCCACTTCAGAGATGTTCTAAAACAAATCTGTAGTTTCTCCTTTACATTTGATTTGAATGTTTTAAAAACTTGTACTGAAAATTGTTTGTTTTTTTAAACATAATATTAAAATGTAATCTTATGCGTGTGCCCAAACATTTTCTGCTCGATTTTCAACCACTCATCCATAGGTAATACATATTTAATTTCAATTTAATAAATGTAACAGAAATTATTGAGAAACAACAATTAAAAATAATTGTCAATGCAATATTTTGTAATAAACATTTTTTCGTAAAAAAAATAAATGATTTTTATTAAAATAAAAACGAAACTGGATTTCAGATTATCTTCAGTGACTGTCAGAGGAAAGTGGAAGCATGATGGAAACGATTAATTAGTAATTCCATATTGATAATAAAAAAAGTTATACTTCAAAATAACTAATGTTCTGAAAAAGTGTATATTTGAAGAAAAATTTAAACACCCCCTGCTGACATCTCTTGAAGAGTTCCGGTGGTTCCCTAGAGGGGAAAATTGTCTGAAAGGGAGTATAAAGGTACTCCTTGGGAGTGCAATAGTCGGGGACTGAGGGGATAAGGTCGTGCCTTTGAGGTATTTTGGCATAGCCAGACCCTTCTTCTGACTATGGTTTGTTTGTTTCTCTCAAGCGCAGAGCCGGCAGAGTGACGTTTATCTCACCCATGAGGGACTACACGTTAATTTTGCTGAAAAATATTGAAAATATAAAACATAGTTATTAAGAAACACTACGGAAGCACAAAATTGGGAGCAAAATAAAATTAGCACAAGTGACCTAATATAAGTCACTTTCTTTTACTAAAATATTTCATTAAAAACCAAAGTAAAATATTTTATTGTTTTTGTTCTTAAAAGGACAATCAATAAGAGTCTAATGAATTATGAAAAATAATTAAACATTAACTGTGAATATGAAAGGGGCATATTCAGATTCCTCAGATTCCTTGCAAATTAAAGTTCCATTCAGCATATGGAAACAATTAAAATTTTTAATAGTCATGAGATTGTTCAAAAACTTGTTAATGCAAATGATAGAAGTACATTCAAGAAGTACATTGAGAAAAATTCCAAGACAACTTTGGATTAATTTACTATAATCTCAAGCTCAAGCAATCAGATATAAAATGCCATTAAAGTAAAAAAAATTTGTTCACCAAACCCAAGAGGAAAGTTCGTCACAAATCAGATGAAGGAAGTGCGGAAGCATCGCCATTGGCTCAGGCAATATAGTATAGTAATGTTCAGTTATAATTATAGTTCTTAATGATCTACAATTGCCGAGGTATTTCAAAGATGACGAGGACAATGGCATACCAATAGTAAAGGTCATTAAGTATGTCGTCCTCAAGTAGCCCATTAAAAGAAGAAGCCTTTTGAATCGCACATAATTTATTGTTTGGGGCTAACTCCCAACACTTCCACTTCTTTGTTTCCAAAAGTGAACTTTATAAAGCCCCATACTCTTTTCATTTCCTTGCGCCAACTCTACACACTCTGCCACAGCCAGCTGTTTGCCTCAGAGCTCTATTAAGCTAACGTTTGCAGCAAAGTTTCGCTGATTTGGCGCAATTAAAACTTTGCCTCAGCCACAATAGGTGCCAGCTAATACAAAACTTTCTGCCAAAGCATGGTTAGAACGGGAGCGGAGTTGGCGATTGGGAGGAAGGGGGGTGCGGAAAATGGGTAGCAAAACGCCTTAGAAGGTTGCCTCATATGTTGCCAGCAGGACATGCAAACATGCAGCTTATAAATTTTGCATAAAACCATGAGAATACTACTTGTAGGTAGCACGAACTTTATGTGAGTTCTGCAAATTTCCTGAGGCGTACAGTGGGAGCAAAGCAGCAAACTAGCACGCACTAATTAGTTAAGTTACATAATAAGAAACTTTGTGAAAATATTTAAAAAATGCTCAACAATTAATATGCTTTTCTCTTTTTTATTTTCTTTAATTTCTTGTTTTCATTAATTTGTTCATTACAAGTAGGTCCAGTGTGAGATGGTTGGCGCAGGTGCATGTCTGGGCTGTGGTTGTGGCATCTGCTAGGCTGTTGAGCAAGTAAATGAGTTGAAATGCGGTTTTCAACTTTCTGCAGAGTGTGTGGGTGGCTGGCGGGCTGATAGGCTGGTAGGCTGGCAGGGTGGTGAGTTAGAGGGGTGAGAAATCAATTTGCAACTAATGCTCCCCTCTCGCTAGGCTGAAGTCACGCGACCCCACTGAGCTCGAATGTTAAGCAATAACAATACAAATGCACTATAAAAATGCAACTCTTTGAAAATTCAATTGCCAACATCAATACGCTAACTTTATAGCTTGCCAATAAAACTTGCTTATGTCCGTGTGTCTGTATGTGTGTGTTGAGCAGACAACAAAGTGGAAGGGTGAGTTGGTGGATACACTCGCACTTATTATTATAAATTCATGAAAATATGTGCCAGTTCCACACACATCTGCACATACCCGCGCATACATACTTGTACATATATTACAGAGTAGCAGCTGTTTGACACACATAGTCTATGACAACGCCATCAGATGCAATAAGCCGTTATGACCCCCAGAGAGGCGAACGAAATCGAAGAGAGAATGTAAAGAGGCCATCGAGAGTGTCGTCGTGGCAGGAGTTGTGTGCGTGCGTGTGTGTGTTAAGAGCATAGAAATCAAAGGAGAGCGTTTGCAGATGCCTTCGATGACTTCCTGTTGGAATATTGTTGAATATTTTAGTACAATGCTATACCAGGCAGCGACAACTTTAAACTTTTGAAATTAATTTCTTAATTTGGAAACATCTTCACAAAAGAATAGCAAATTTTTTAAAATTATAATTGTGTATTAATGCATGGATGCATAAAACTGAATAATGAAATTGCTATTTATTCATACTTTTTACATAAATGTTGGCAATATATTTATTTATATACAGCGGATAATTCTGGAATTCTCGTGTCCAGCAATTTCCGAATTTTTCTCCATTTTTAGACTTCCCGAGGGAGCGTTAGAGTAATACGTATAATGATCGGAGAACTTAGAGATCAACCAAAAGATATGAAATTTCGTTCGAATTTCTTTAGAGAAGATATAAATTTAGAGAAATTAAACATTTTATAATATTAATAATTCTTGTATGAACACTCATTTACTATCAACTATTATAAAGAATAGATAGAAAGGGTATTATTTATATCTTTTTAAAATAC